CCAAGATGTTCCTCTACGAGCTGGGCGAGCTTGTAGAGGAACATCTTGGGTATCTTCCGCCCTGGTACTCGTATCCACGTCCTCTGTCTGGGCAGCGAAAACTTTGCTGATATGTGACTCGGTCGAAGTGACTTTTTTTGGCCCCCTCTGTATATCTATCTTGGAATCAAGAGCTAGCTGATGCTGTCACCCGCGTTATGAATATGGTGACCTCCCCCTTCTAACGCCTCTTATCGGATCTTATCAACTGATATCACTTCCTGTCACCCACCAATAGTGTTCCCGTCACACCCCCTACATCACTCCTTGGAACCATCGTTCCACCGTTGCTAGGAGCGGCGCTATCAATTTCGTGACACAGGCAGACGCGCACACAAACACGCACACTTACATACTTAGCGAATTATATATAGTAGGATAAGATTATATCGTCGTACTCGTTTTCCACCACTTTTTGTCGCATGGCGCTTCAACAAGAGGGCAGAGAACGGCTTTGACGGGGTGACACACTCATACTGCCTGACACGCCCAACCGTCCGCAGCGAACTGGAGTATACGTGCAACTGCACCAATTAAAGGCAAGGATGCCAACGGAAGTCGTCTAAATACGAGGATTACGCTCTAGGAGGAAGGAGGTCCGGCCGATTGTGACCAATCCTTTTATGCAAAGGTGGTTTACACATTTATTGAAATAATCACTAACAAGCTCCTTCCCTTCACGTCCACCATTAATCTTGAGAGCGCATGGCATGGCATGGGGTAGCATGCCTAGGCACATTCCGCAATAAAATAAGGCTATGACCTCTCAATCTGTTCGGGACGATCCGTGAGAGCGATCTGAGGGCTGCCGCTACTGTCTCAAAATGTGAAAACGGCAAGAACTCCGCTAGAAGCTGACTAATTAGGCCCATGGACACCCCTTAGGCCCATGCCGACCCTCACCGGCTGCTAGCTACTAGCTAGTAGCCACTATGTTATCTTTCTCTATAACATTTCGGACTGCTTTCTGCTGCTTTTCTCCGCTAATCAGATACTTAGCACTTTTTTGTGCCTATTTGAGTTCCGTTTCCCGCAATTTGCGGTCGCGAACTGTGCCTTTAAGTAATTGGGTTGGGCTGTGTTCTTATATTGGACTAATGTTGTGGAAGGATTGGAAAGTTCTAAGACAGATCTCTTTTCACTTTTCAAGTGCTAAGTCAATTGTGGGATAAAGTGTAAATTCAATAAAACTGTCCGCTTACATCGCTCTGATGATGGCTTGGGTGTAGCAACGCAAAATTCATCTTTGGGAGGGCTAGTTTGAATAGATTCCGTTGGCCCATCGACGATTGCTGAAAAGCCAGAACGTGAACTTTACAATTCTCAGATGGAACCAGTTTCTTCCCCTGTATCTCCAACCGCTAGCTACAGAGTTCCCCCCTCCCCCACACTTCTCTTGCTAGTTGCCTCTAACCCTCCAACTCTTGTACGCTCTAAATCCCTGAGGCGCGTTAGGCGTGGCTGCGTAATTCATTTGAACTGGGCATAGAATGGTTATTTAGGCGATTTATCAATTTGAGACGACTGTCATCTTGTCCTGCGTTGGACACATGATTACAATCGTGCCAAAATAAAAATGTTCTACCAAAAGCGCAGGAGACGCCTCATTCAGATAGAGTACGTTGACATGCCCACCGCATCTCAGAGATTTGTAGGGTATAACTCTACTCGTAGGTTGGCTGTTAATAGGGTCTTGATTAGCATCAGAAGGCTGATGGGGTGTACCACAATCATATCATCGCGGAAGATTGCCCCTAGGAAAATTACTGATTTCTAAGCCTAGTTGGCTACCGGTTTCTCTTGACACTACCTTCATTCACGTTTATTGACCAGAAGTCATCATTGACCAGAAGTCACTGCATTCCTATTTTGCGTATCCTAGTTACCCTTCTCACCTGCCCCATCTGAAAGGTGTGATTGCATCATGTTCGCGAATGGGCGTCCTTCTGTTATTGGAGAGCTCGGCGTCACATCTTCCCATTCTATGACGATGGAGGAACGGACCATTAGAATCCCAACTTTCCTGCAGAACCGGCGGCTAACACCCATATTATGGGAATGACGAGCTAAGCACCCTAGTCGCCACTCGCCAAAGCTGCGCAGTAGATGCTGAGGCGTGTTTGAGGCTGGGTTTTCCAGTTCGGTTTCCCACCAATTTTATACCAATCGCCAGTTTAGTTTTATTCCACCAGTTGCTGTCGCTTGTCCTTCCAACGGTTTGTATAAAATTGACCGGCACCTCTCCATACGGGCAGACCATCTGACTCGCCCCAGCGTTTGCAGTGGAAACGACTGCACTTATCTAGACTTCGCAGCGCATTTTCCAAAGACGCTGAGTTGCCGAATCTCCAAAACTGACGAATTCACATCTATAGTTCGTTGAGGACTGAGGGGCGTGCCAAACTCGTTCTCCTCCAATTGTTGAAGCGAGCAGTGGCAAGACTGTGTTACAGTATCACTCGTTCTCTACCAATGTCGCCCATCCGCTTCAACAACTGGCTGCCAAAGCGGGTTTGGCGCCGTGGATACTGCCTGCCACGCCACTTCATCCGCAGCGAACTAGAGTATACATGTACTCCCCTTCCAGAGTATCCTGCTATTCTCCGAAGTCGAAAGCCGTGAGCGCGGTCTAAGACAGCGTTATCACAATCAACGCCTCACAGTGGATTGATACGGCAGGCAATAATTAGTTCCCAGTGGAGCTGGCGGTCGTTCGTGGACACGAGACGGGACAGTCGTAATTGGCTGCGCTTCTGGCCATCGCGCGCGATGTCGCGCCTGCAAATGACGATCTTTCTGGACCGTACATGGCGGCAGTAGACAATGTATAGCCAAGAGTAGCCACAATATCTACGGTGTTACAGTCTACATGGAATCCGGTTATCCAATCCTTAGGGTTATGCAGCAAAAAACGCACTCACCGCCGCGCCCGACGCAGCGGCAAATGACGATTGTCTTGACCGTCTCCCGGAGTATCCACGTGCTTTCACTCATTGCTAGGTAGCTCGGAAAGAAGAGAGCGATGCAAGAAAAAGTCAAAAATTAATCCCTCCAATGCCGAGACATGGATTACCTGCTCGTAGCAGTGTCTTACTTGTGACCATGCCGCAATCCTACGTCGCGCACTCTTTGACCCCATGGCATCTTGGATTAGTGCAGGCCTTAGGCTACAGTCATTTGAGTGCATAGCACAGACATCACAAAAGCCTCAAATCGCTAGCCGAGAGCTCCTCAGATCGTTCACGGCGTTGAATCTGACAATCTTCTGTATCAACACTTCCTTGTCCAACATGATTTCGAGAGTTTTTAAAACCTCCAGCAACAGATTTGCTATACTGCACGAGAAAGCAAGAAGTATAAGAAAATACCCACCGCTTGCCATTTCAACACTATAAAATGAGGGGTGAGGATGTTCTGTGGGGATGTTTGCTTACCCATTAAAGACTGATATGATATGCGCTTCTTTCCATTATATAAAGCAACCAAATATACTTTATTAGTACAAGAAATTTTTCCATAAAAAATGATTGATACATACATAATGAAAAATTTAATACTATCATGGTACTGTTGACACACTCTCTGGTCAGTGATGATTGAGTCAGACATCTTGCTTTTCCCAGATTTCCCTGATGATCGGACCGTCTGTTCGGTGCAAGCGAAACGTACTGAATACAGCACCGACTGAGTAGAAGAATGGGCGCACGATGTACAGCAATAAGATGGGCCAAATTGCCAGCACTTGACTCAATACCATTCGTACAAGTGTGAGAAGAGGCTAAAACAGGGATTGTGATTGCGAGATGCTTGAAACACAGCAGATTTTTTTGTTGCTATTCCCAAAAACAACATCTCTACATGTTCCATGCCTGGATGAGGAGTACTAACCATAAGCTACGCAGGACTGCCCTATCGATAGTAAAGAATTCGCATTCGGTTTCCTGTTCTCTTTCATGTAAAATAAAGGGGTCATATGCCGTTGGTAATGTATACAGTATCTTTGGGGCAGTTCGGGGAAGGGGAGGGGGTGGGCATCTTGCACTGTTGCTACTTCCCATGGACGTCGATCTTTATTTGAGTTGACAGGTTTTACCATGTTGGCTCGACGAGCTTGCTCCAGCTTCACAAGAGCTCACAGGTTTCACTAGAGTAAGACTTGTAAAGTGGAACTATTAGGTTGGCCCATAAGTAATGGCGTTTATTTCACACAATTTTTTTATATGAAAAGTGGGAGTCCTTTCCATTGCGTTTCATGCTGTTGAATAGATAATTTTCTGCTCTATAAAACGGTACGGTTGCCTTCCTACTAGCTTGATTTCTGTCAATTTTTATTTCATTGAAATGAAGTGTCGGGTCGACTTGAGAGTGGGTTTTCATCTGTGCTTTGGAGAGTATTCCTTTCCTCAATATTTGTTTGACAACAACTTTTTGCCACTATTATCCACTGGCTCTCGAATATTCACAGGAAGAATCTCAACAGTGCGCAGTATACGGAATGACACTACAAGGAGAAAGCGATGCTGCTCAGCACACGTTTGAACGTTGGATCATCAAAACGATGCGAGAGAAGGTGGGTGAATTCGGACCGTTGGTGAATTGTGGGACTGTCGCAGTAAGGACTCGACTGTCTGTTCAGAACTGCCCCCCCTCAACTTCTCGATACCGGACCTCTTCCTAACATCAACTGTGAGGGTGATCGTACTTGATAGTTAATAAGGAGAGGCATTCCGCAGACCTCTAACGATTCACTTAATCATTGGCCATAATTATCAAATGAATCGAGCTTAGCTGTAGTCAAGCTACACTTGGACTTGACAGTGGGCATCTATAGGACTTCTAATGGATATGTCTGTCGGCAGGTTCAAACCACTTATGAGATCCATTCGAAAAACCCTGAACGCCCACTTCATCGCAATGCAAAAACACTCAGGTCCTTCTTTGACCACTATTCTTATGCCCAAATTGGGGATTGTGCGGTTTTAGCTTTTTTATTAGAGGTAAAAAAGAGAGGCGGTCGAAAATGCTCAATTTCGTCAACGTGACACCCCAGTCCGAGCACCTAAATGTGGAAAGAGAAACTGCAAGAAAACCAAGAGAACTGACGTTAAGGGCGAGAAATTCTCTGCAGAATAGTATAAAACTCAGTGAGAATACTTCTTATTTTCGGCGAGATATTTCGAGTGCGAAAAAACGCCATTACTTATGGGTCGACCCAATAGTAAAGCGACCAAAGTGCACCCCTCGTCGTGTGCGAATCTTTCCTCCCCCCCCCTACTCCCATTCTTCCATCACTTCAAGTTCTCAAGTGAAAAGCCCTGGGAATACAAAAGATAATTGGTAATTCCTGTAGATGATATCGGCACATGCCTTTGGCTTTTTTGTGCTCCTGCACTTTTTCACATACACATTGGTTCTGCCTGGACAGTGACAGTCCACCAACCAGAACTAATAAGCGAATAATAAGTCCACGGACTCGAGTGCTAGGAGACGGAAAAAATTTTGACGTCATCACGTGGAGTTCGTACAAACATACCTTCCCGTTGTGAGTCTCAAAAGTTGGATCGGCATTCGGAGCCTTTAGATAAGGCATTTGCCGGTTGATTTAGCTTTTTTAACTCCAATAACTCAGTTACGGGTAGACATTGCGCCTTGTAGTTAGGCTTCCGTTACCCTCCATATGTCTTGGGACGCGGGCTGCCTTTAAAGCCCTTTGCGATGGGGGCCCGAATGCGCTCCCAAAAAAACAGTTCCTAATGCTTTCGCTGTTCCTTCACCGGCTAACTGTTTTCATGAAGAAATTTTAGGCATCCTCGCGTACAACTGGAATTTCACCGCCTGCCGCGGCGGTAAAACTACAAAGTTGAGGGAAGTTTTCTTTTTGGCCGTTCACGCGTGACATTTCTTCATCTACTTATCTGCCAAATATTTGACAAGCGCACAGAGACCATTGATTTCACCTTCTCTCTTCTCAGAACCTGCAGCTTTCTTCTTTCACCTCTTGGGCATAGATGTTTTTATCACATGTCCCGTGCCGGCCACCTGGTCGACTCATAGAAAACGTCGGAACAGGCAACCTGCAATCTTCCTACTCAATTTGCACTTCAGGACAACTCCTACAGACTATCGAGGATTAGCTGCAATCAGCAACTTTGAACAAATGGCTAATTCATTAGTCTTTTCAGCTTTACCATAGTGAGACTTGCGTGCTCTTGAGAAACAGCCTTCCCTTGAGCCCCATTAATGGCGAATCGTGTGGGCCTCATGCTGAACTCACGAAAATAGTGTCAGCCTGATTGATGCTGGATGTGGTCAGACCTTTCAATAAGGTCTAGCACATCTTCAGGCAGCCTGTACGTAAAGGACACGAGTTCTACAGGTCACCGGTCCAAGCAACCTTCGGGAAAAAATAGGCGCGGACCGGCGCCGTTCACGATGGCACGAGCGATCAGCTTGCTTCCAGCTTAATTTTGGCACCTCTTTTCGCCCTGATTTCACGCTATATCTCAATTTTTTGAGTAAGCTTTTTCTACTGTTTAGCAAAATCACATTTTAGGGGCGTGGAAGTTTTCTGTCATTAGATGGTGCTTTAGGAAGCAACATAATCGACTGACGAGAAAAGCAGCCATAACAGTGTAAATTAGGGAGAAAATGGCTAAAATAGGCTGGAAACAGCTGATCGCCGCGCTCGTGACACGCCGCAGCCGCGTCGCGACCCTAACTCAAGACCACAATTGTGTCAAAATGAAAATTCCTCTTCCAAAAAAAAAAAAAAAAAAAAAAAAAAAAAAAATAAGCACAACCACCCGGTAACGTCTAGCTTGGAAGTACGCAGGTGCCGCCCACCACACTCAGCGGATTGTGAGTGTAGAAGCCAGATTCTCGCGTCATAATGAGGAGCCGATCCTTCGCTCCAGGAAATGCTGCTTTGATGCGGAACCTAGCAGAGAACAGGAAAAAGCGTTAAGTGTAGATCGCTACCGATTGGTCTGATCGCTGCCGGCTTATATCCCCCATCACAAGAAAATTAGACAATTTTCAAAAATAATTTTCAAAACTGCATGAGTTGAAATCTAACTAAACAACATACCTGCGCAACCCAAATCCTTAAGAAGGTGAACAATGCAAAGATAAAGCCAGCAATAAGGGCAATCGGCAGTCCAAAGATAAGTGTGAGAATTTTGTAGCAATAGATACGAGTTATTTCGAAGACCTGCAAACTTGCTTTGTTTATGATGTATTTATGCCGTTTCCTAGTGCAAGATACGTTGTACGCTCACCTTCGAAGATTGTGACTCTTGACATATGCTATATGGATCCGAAGCTGTGCTATTGCGCCACTTTTCTCACTCGGAACTGCGCCGAAATGAAGCTGGAGGGCAGTGGTTGCTAGATGTTTTTTCAGACTCCACCCACTGGCAAAAAACGCAACACGCTGCACTGCCAGGCATACGTCTAAGTATAACCAAACGCGCTACTCGTTTGCACCATCTCGTGTTTGGTTTCGCTATCTTTAACTGACTTTCGGCAGCTTTCCAATATGTTCGCTTGGTGAATTTGCTGTTGACAAAAAACCGTACCTTACGCATGGCAAGTGGAGTACGAAAGAACATTCAGCCATCACCTTCGTTTTCGCGCGCTTTCGAGTGGTGAAGGCTGGAGCTGCGAATCTGTCCAATGACTAGACATGACAAGTATCCCTCTTGCAGGTGAGCGTACATTCATCGTGAAGCAGATTGTAGCAGAAATTTTGACATTATTGAAATTCGCTACATTTGCTCTCCAACGACTTCACGCTTTCAAGTAGGTAAATCTTCATTGACAAGAAAAGGTACTATATACAGCCTTGATCGCTAAGGGGCTTGTGAGGAGGGTGGGTTTTACGCGGCGCCAGCATGTTCTCCACCAGTTGGTGGAGCACGCAAGCGGCAACAATTGGTGGAAAACGATACGTGAAAATTCGATACTAAGCGGTACACAAGCTACATTCTTGATAGTTGTGGACTTCAGTCAGCTCCTGACATGAAGTCACAACTATAAAGACTGTACCGCACAGGGGGGGGGACGGGCAGACAAAAAGACACTCGGGCCAAGTCATATATCACGTAAAGTTTAGCGCAGCCCAGACGAAAGGCAGGTGATAAGTTACCAGGCGGCAGATACCCGAATCTTTCACGAAAAGCATAGGAGCAAGCTCTCATCCATCAACTTCATGTATACCAAAACATCGTCAATCGCAGCCTCGATCGCATCCACGTCACCTCCAAATAGCTGCGAGACTTCTTGTGATTCGCAGCTACTGCGGACCGGCCTTCAATCTGGCGAGACCCCTCCACATCGAGCAGCTCCGACAACGATAGCGACAGTCCAAATATCATACTGTCACGCACAAGGTGCGGGTTGAAGCGTATTAGCGGAAGTTCCTGGAATTGGCTGGAAGACGATTTTATCTATCGTGCGACGGACTGGGAGTGAATGCTGACTGTACCGAACAACTCGAGGAGAATATCCTGCCCTTATGTCGTCGCCTGTACTATATTGGGAACTTCGTACCGCCACAGGATTGGGTGCCGGCACATGGAAGAAATTTTGTACCTGAAGGAGGCGTAATATACGATTGTGTCACCTGACCTGAACCCCCTCGATTACCAGGTTCGGGCGGAGCTCAACAGGTTGTGTACAGGGGAACTTCAGAAGGCTGTGGCGGAGTTTCAAGATAGTGTACAATGTGTTGTTGAATTTGATGGTGGAAATGTCCCATAAGGATTCGATAAAGTGTAACTTTTATCGCCTTGAATGTCGAAGAAGAGAAGGGTCTTTCCTCCTCTCTGTATATTATACATACCATGCCAAATTTCATAGCTCGATCTCATTTCGTAGAAAAGTTATTGAATGAAACTTGCTCTTGCATCCATTTGGATTACCCTGGTGTATTAACCTTTAATAGTTAGCAATACCTCAAGATATCTTTACGTTATGAACCAAGATTTCACTTGTTCAATAGAGTTAAAACTGCAAAGTAACACACACAGTACGTAGAGTGTGAAACTGGTAGACTTACCCTATAGCTGGTCGTCCACACACATGCTATGCTGTGGTACTGTGGATCGGGTTCGCCAAAAATATCGAGGAAATGCGTCTGTAAATAGCAAATGCTTTTATTCGTTTCCCAAATCTCCGAATGATCATGTTCCTGCAGAATTCGCATAAATTGAAATTTTCAACTTTGAATTTTTTTCAAAACTTTTCAAATTAAATGCTGGAATTCCCTTTTTCAAATTTGATGCTGGAATTCTCACAGAATGGTATCATAATTCAACGGAAATAAACGAGTCAGGTAAGCGAAATTAGATTGCGGAATAAGTAAAAGCGGAAACCCAGTGCAGAAACCAGCGTAGGAACGTAATTCAGTGAGCGGGTAACAAGCCGCTTAGGAGGATCAAGTCGACTGGTGAAAACACATTCCGCGATAACTGAGTGGGCGGGGACGGATGGTCATCAAACCTTTCCCGGTATTCTCCCCCTTCCGACGCGGTAAAAGGGCAATCGCCACTGTCGTGACTCCTTGTCTCCAGCTATACGATCGGCGTCGAATGGGCCTTCAAGGGTAGTGGAGAGATTGGCAGTGTTTGATTTTTTCAGCGCGTTACCTTTCGACTCCCTCTTAAAATCGTTCAAACTGATAAGACTCAGGCTCTAGCTGTTTCAGGGGGTTGACCTCCAGACACACTTATATGTCCGCATGGTTTTCTGGCTGGATGCCCCTAAACGGAAGCGGAACTTGGGAACGCGTCGAGATCTTCCTTTGCAGTTGGTACGAGGGGTATTCAATATATTTTTATGGGTATGAAGGAAAAGGCAGAGGAGTCTAATGAAATTTTTTCAATGTAGTCCTCCATAACCTCAGAACACTTGTTTGCTCGGGAAACTAACTTTTCAATACCCTCTGAAAATATTTTTCCTCCTTGTTCCCGAAACCTAATGTGATAATTGCCGCCTTCAGCTCTTCATCGTCAGAAAAACGCTTTCCACCAAGATCGTCTCAAGGTAGTGGAACAAGAAGTAATCACTGATCATCTTCTCAAATTTCTTTTCATTTTCTCAAACTTCTTTTCATTTTCTCAATTTTCGTTCCATTTTCTCAATTTTCTTTCATTTTTCTCATTTTTTTATCAGTAATCATTTCCTCAACATTGTCGCATCATTCATTCTGGTCCTCTTTCACCAAGGATAACTAGAATAGCACTGAAGATATCTTAATAAAATTTCGTACTTATACCCTTGGGAAGAACTGAGATCGAAATGATTTCAATACCTTTAACACTGCTGAATTATCCCGATACTGAGAATGCCTGGAACGGCCCTGGTACAGCCGCGGAAAAAAAAACTCGGAACAAGCCCAAGCGTGCGCTCTTTGATGGTTTTACATACAATTTTGAATTGAAAACTTTGTTTTCTCAAATCAAGCACATCCAGCAGGTTTCTTGAAATGCTATTCTAAAAGTAAAGTTGTTGATTAAATTCGTTACCGGGACAGAATTTTGAAGATTATTGCGATGCGGCATGCCGCTGCCACTCTGATATTGGACCGGTTTTCAAAGTTTCTAATGCTTTGGGAACAACACAGGTT